ATACACCCTAAAAGTGGAGTAAGAACAATGGGTTTACCAGATCAAGTGCACAAGCGAAGCCGCCTTCGACCAGGACAAACTTGTCCTGGCCGTGGGGAGGATCACCTCGGAGGGCAAGAACATTCTGAATGCCATTGGACTTGATGGTCTGAAGAGCATGGTCGATCTTCTCTACGGGCATATTGGTGCAAGTGAGATGCATCATTGTCTCCACACAGATGATATTCTGCATATTTTTAGCTATGTCCAGCGTGAGATCGGCAGTGGAACCACCAGCACCCCATGTTATGTCGCAGAATGATGGGTTGTGAGCAACCATTCGATCCATTCTCTCGAACAGGTTGTCTACGCCATCCTCAGTTTTTGGAGGGAAGAACTCAAAGGAAAACACCACTTTCCCTTCTTGCAAAGACTGGATCTTCTCTATCACCTTCATCTTTAACTGGATCCGGAACTCTAAAACTGAAATTAAAGAATTGGAATTAAACTAAAAGGAAACAACAGTCAGTGACAAACAAAATAAACCCAAAGCTGAATCTGAAAGAAACACAGATAATTGAAAAGGGAAACCCAAACTTCACTTCCAGATCAGTTAAAACATAAATGATATACTGCAAGTTATACATTGTGAAGGATCTAAGAATCACCAAACAGTATTCCGAATCTAACATCCGAAGTTCGTATTAGCACATTGTCCCAAATTAATGGGACAAAACTATATCATAAAAGAAAAAGAAAAATCCCAGAAAATAGGAAGAAAGAAATGAAACTCACAAATGGGATTGTGGTGGGTGCAGAGAGAGAGAGAATGGGTATGGAAGCAGGGGAGTATTTAACAAAGTTGCCACTCACTCAACAACAATCACTACAGATGCCAACTCTACGTAGGTACGATTCGTACGAATATGATACGATATAGTCGTTCTTGTCGTATGTATCGATTACCAACCACAAACAGAGATGCCGACATGTGTTGATAGTAGAGGTGGGAATATGATTAAGATCCGCGGGTTATCCGTTTAATCCTAGCCCGTGCGGGTTTTGATAATCAAAAATTGAAGTTTGTTTAAAAAAGCTCGGACAATTAAACCCGCGGGTAGCCCGTAATTGGCCGTTTAATTTAAAATTTTAGAGAAAATAAATTTAAAGAATTTTATAAAAATAAAAATAAATTACCTATAAATATGATGTTACTTATAATCATTGTAGTTCTTAAATTTATTAGAGCATTTGTCATAATTCTACCGTTGTTTGATTTTTTTTTGCATTTATAATGTATCAAATTATTCTTCATTTTAAAAAATAAAAGTTAAAAGATTTATATAGTATTTTAGTCTTATAAAATTTACATCATTATCACTTGGGAATTTAAAGATTTTTTATTTAATTTTGACCTTTATTTTTTTTCATGAAATATATTATCCATTTCGTTCTTTAATTATAAAAAGTCACGTGATATTCTAATAATATATCACATTACACGTAATATTTGGATTAAAAATAAGAAAAAAAAAATAAAAGAAAAAATTGAAAATATACTTTTCAACTTTTAAAGGTTTTTATAAAAAAAATTTGTTAGATTTGTATAATGTTGACTTTGTTGAATTTTTATGTTTGAATTTATGTTTGTAGACATTATAGCTTTGAATAATCGTGTTTTATAAAAGTATAATGTGATTATTGTTTTATTTATTTTTCACTTTGGTGATATAAGTGAATATTATTTTTTTTTAATTTGAGTTTAAGTAATTATATCGTTATATATATATATTAATGATTAAAAAATTTAAAAAAAATATTATTTTATAATCATTTTCGGCTATTTAAAATAAAATTTAAATATTATTTATTATTTTGACGGTGTTACCTTCTTTTTCAAGTTACTGGATCATTTTTAAAGATGTAGCAGATTATAACACTATTTTTATTGCATTTAAAATTATTTTTATTTAACGGGCCGCGGGTAAGCCCGTTTAACCCACGGGTCAAACGGACGGGCCGCGGACCTTAAAATTCAAAACCGTTTATGATTGCGAACTTTTTAAACCGCTCCGTTTAAGCCCACACCGTCAAAACCCGCAGACTAAACGGGCAGGTAGCCCGTATACCCACCTCTAGTTGATAGTAAAGTAAACAAATGAGCTTTTAATTATAGATATTATTTTATTGAGTGATCTAATTATTAAAAATAGAAAATAGTATTTTAAATATAGACGTTTTTTTATTGAGTCATCCAACTATTAAAGGATATAAAATGTTCTTTCGGATATAATACATTGTTTTGTTAAGTCTTCAACTATTAAAAGTTATAAAATTATCATATAATTATTTATATGCTCCAAACTTGTATTTCAATGATCGATATATGATAAAATTATATTTTAATGATATCCATTGACATTAATATTGCTTTCAATTACTGACCAGACGACATAATGTTTTAAGAACTGGCTCGATGACATAATGTAAACAGAGACTCGATCAAAAAAATACAACTCAAACAGTTGTAAAATTATATTTTTATTATATCTCAGTGAGCAAGTTAACGTCCAAATCATATGATCTTTGATTTTTTAACATAAAAGACAAATTTAGAACATATGAATAGTTAATGACTATTTTGTAACTTTTAATAGTCGAATAACTATTCTGTAACTTTTAATAATTGAGAAACTCAACAAAGTAATACCCTATAATCGAGGACCACTTCTATACTTTACCCTTTCGTTTTCTTACCAATACCCATCATTCTTTTCTTATTATGTTAATTTAATCCTTTTGTATACTGAATAAGGTTTTGACTGATAATCTTTAATTTAATTAAAAATATTAAGATTGAAGTATTTTGTAGGGCATTTCATTCATTGCTTTTAAATATATTCAGTAAATTTTATTATACAGTGTAGTTGAAAAAAAGGACTTGTTCATATAAAAGGTCAGAAAATTTATTTTATCATTTAGGGTTATTGTTATAATACACCATGAAAGTACGTCTAAATTATTTAGTGATTTTTAGAAGATGTCAAAATTACATGGTTTCTTTGAAAAGACATTGTACCAACGTTGTTAGCTTGCGACCATGAATGTATTTTGGGAAAAATTATCTTTACAGGTGATAATATATATTTTAAAGACTTTTAATCATTTGACGATCAATGCTTAAATAATTTGTAGCTACTAGTGTTTGAATTCGGCGCATCTATAAATAACAATATTCTCTTTAAACACTGAAGACTCTTATTCTTGCTAAATGATAATTAATTTAAAATAATAAATACGGTATAAAGTTGATAAAAAATCTAATTCAATATTAATTATAATTTACTTTTATTTATTTTCAATTTTAAAAAATTTTAAACGCAAACGAATGCAGGTAAATAATTCAGGTATTTTATTAAAATACTTTTTGGGTAAACTATACGGATAATTCTTTATGTTTTTCGGTTTGTTCGATTTCAGTCACCAATTAAAAAATGAATTTAATCCCTTACGATATCGACCCATTCGATTTTAATCCCTCGACCATGAACTCCGAGATCCCTCGAGCTTCAATCTCATCCGAAAGTTCATTAAAAACGTCATGACAAAACCCATAAATCATTGCAGCCATGGCCTTTTCACACTCGATTCCCTTCCGCTGCAAGTAAAATAACTACTAATCTTCACCGGTTTTTGAGGTTGTGGCTTCATCCTCTACATGAGCTGAGGGGTTCTTAACATGTCTGACAACATAGTCTTCCATAGGAATGTAATTCCATTTCAAAAGTAACTATTACATTAAAAACATCAAAAGCAAATTTGTGTCAAAACAAGAATGAGAATAAAATCCTATCCCGATTGCCATTCAAGTCAAATAATATGAAGAAAAAGAAGAGACTAAAATCGAACGGATCGATAACGTAAAAGATCAAATTCACTCTGTTTTTTGAATCGATGACCAAAATTGGTCGTTCCAAGAACCTATAGGACTATCCATATAGTTTATCCAATTCTGTAATCCAATTCTGTCGAACCTACATACTCAAAGTGAAATTTGGACAAAAATATTATTGGGTAAAATACATCCCGAGTCACTTAATTATTAATTTAATTACAAATTAATCACTTTTTTTTATTAATTTTTTAATTTAATTATTAAATTAAAATATTATTAGAAACATGTCACTCAATCGTTAAAATTGAAATTTGCATCTAATATGATTTGATGTAATAATTTTAGTTCTCAAATCTTCATACTCTATCAATTTAATCTTGATTGGAAATAATTCAATGATTTTAACAATTTATATTTGAGTTTTTTATTTTATCAATTTAGTCATTCTTTTACGATACTGTCAAATCAAGCGAGTCTGATAAAACTATATTATACTATAAAGTAACAACATATTAGTGTTCAACTCTTACTATACTAAGAAAGTAACATGGAAATATATTATTTCTAAGAGAATAATAGACAATTTAGGAGAATAATAAATCCGAATTCTTAAATTGATAGTTAAATTTATTAAATTATTTTGAATTAAGACTAAATTAATAAAATATATAATTTAGAGATTAAAATTATTTTTATACTAGATTATATTATTCTATCTATTATTTGATAATCTCAGTTAAGATAATTAAATTATAACTTTTTTAAAAGAGACTCATTATAACTAAACCAATAATTTGTGGCATTTATTTATAATGAGTCTATATAAAATCTGATCCGAATTAATCAATTAATAGATTGAAAATTAAATTATAACTTTTTAGGAAGAGACTCATTATAACTGAAACAATAATTTTGTGACATTTCTTTATAATGAATCTTTATAAAATCTGATTCGAATTAATCATTTAATAGATTGAAAATTGAGGGCTATACACCAAAATAATATATAAATTGTGCGACCTTGATTGTATTTTGCCCAATATTATTTAAACACCGACGCTGGTTCAAGCTTAGGGTTTTGTCTCGAAGAAGCGGCTGCCTCTTTGCCAAAATCAGGAGCAGAGTACCGTTCTGCTAAACCCTTGTAAAACCCCTGCGAAGAGAAAACAAAGAAGAAAGATCATAAATTTCTCTGAAAAACCCTAAACTATCCGAATTAGAGGACAAAGAAACGAATACCCTTTTTCCTCTTTGTATCTTCAATGGCAACACCGTCGCATGCTCAAGGTGTCAAGTCGCTCAATAAATCTCAGGGTCGTAGGCGCTTTGTTGTATGATTTTTCCCTCTTTCACTCTCCCTTCTTTTTCTTTACCTCGGTTTCTTCACGAACTCTTACTTTGTTTCTTTCTTTTTGCTGATTTCAGTTCAAGACTTTCTCTCAGAGAATAGATGATATTGATATTAATGTATTTAGAAGCCTTGATAAAATCAAGTCAGAGCCCTCTGAAGGTTCATCTTTCCTTCGGGATTGCCTTATCGAGTGGAGGGTATGTGCTGAATTTCATCAACTCTTTTTTTTACCTTGTTAGAACCCAAATTTGTTAATTTTATAACTGAATTCTATTAGTTTTGTCTTTTTTTGGATCTTTAGTGGTTTTTTTTTTGAAAAACATACTATTTTACAAATGAGTTATATCATTTGAAATTAGTAGTTTATCATTATAGAAACAGAGGAAACTTGTGGTGCCTCTTGTGGGAGGCATAGCTAATTCGTAGGTCATGCAGAAATTTATTACTGCATAAGATTTCATAGGTGTTCATGTTTCGGAGTTTTATTTTTAATGCAGGAATTGAATACGGCAGAGGATTTCATTTCATTTTATGGGGAAACTATGCCATTTGTACAGACCTTACCCTTGGTACTCTTGCACAAGGAATTGATATTTACTAAACTTATTTCCCGGTTACAAATGAAAGCAAGATTATCTCTTGAGCCTTTACTCAGGTGTGCAAATTTATGATTGATGTAAGCTTGGATTCCTCTTTGTAATGTTTCCTTCAAATAGATGGCTGACAAAAGAGATAAGTAGAGTCCTAAAAGATTTTCTGGAATCAGACTAAACTCTCTAAATTTTGTTTAGTGCAACAATACTTTACAGCATATTGATTTAACTATACAGAAAGGATTGCCTCAGTAGCGAGTTTACCTCTATCATATCAGGCTGCTGTGCTGCTACATTTTATTGTTTCTGCTCAGTGATTTAATAACTACTTGAATCTGGTGTTGCTATGCATATTTTTAGTTGAGTTTGTCCCTTGGTGTGTCTAGTATCGTTTAGGCGTGCCTACACCTGGCAATAAAAACAACTAAGACTTGTATGAGTGAGTTTATTTGATAAGGTGCAAATCTTATGTGCCTAAGCATGCTTTTCTATAAAGAGATAGACACCGAAAAAACTGACAGAACTTGTTAATTTCTCTTATTTGTACCTTTTTCATTAGTACTACCTAAGGAAGGGATAACTTGAAACTCTTTACTTCCCCCAATGTTTGAGTATCAACAATAGACATGGAAACATAAGAAATTCATGCATATTGGCCGACAAAAAATTGCACAATCTTAGGATAAATTAGAACTCTCTATAGAATATAGTACCATAATTGTGTATCTTTAGCTTATCTCTCTCTCTTACACACACACACATAGATACAACTAAAAGTCTAAAACAGACGCACACACATGTACCGCGTCTTTAGAAAGATTAAGCAAACACTTTTTATGTTCCTCAGGAAACATACACACACACATAGATACAACTAAAAGTCTAAAACAGACGCACACACATGTACCACGTCTTTAGAAAGATTAAGCAAGCACTTTTTTTGTTCCTCAGGAAACATATCTAGCTTCTAGAGTACCTTGCACCTTGGACAACATTGGAATTTGTTGGTTGCCAACTTCATACTTGGTTACTCTATTTGGTTCCTAAAATGAATCCTTAATAATTTCACTTGGGATATGATCTTTTTTCTATAATGTTAGAGCATACTCTATTATAATATTGGTATCTATATTGTTGTTTATGGTTAAAGGAAAATTGTGTAGGATTCATGTTGTTGGTGCTGGGTATTAAAGTTTTGGTTTCATGTGCTCCACCCAATGCTCACTTTCTATGCACCAGTTTGAGATAACAAAATTTTTAACTTGTGCAGATTGTTGGCAGCCTTCTCTAGGGATATTCTTGAAGATTTTCTTCCGTGAGTCTCTTCTTTCTTTCATCAAATGCATGTTTGCTCTCCCTTTTGGTTGAATAACTAAGTAATTTGCATATCTGATGCTATGTAAATTGAACTTGCCATAGATGGTTGCATGATGCTTATTGTTGCTCTCATAGGTCATTTTATGGCTATGCTAGAAGTTCCACACGTATTTGGGTGGGCTTGATACAGTTGCGAGACATTAAATTTTGGTATCCTGTTTTATGTATTGTTGGTTCTGGATTAATACATAGTTTAGTAAATCAAGTGGAACAACCACAATAAATAGAAAAGAAAACATCTTTGAAATGTTCATTGTTATGGCAACATCTGGCCTATGATGGGGAGAATAATTTTGTTTCCCCAAGGAACTTCATAAAGTGGAAAGGGAGCCCACTTTATTGACTGTTGATATTTGTAACTTATGCAATAGTGGTGCATATTGGGCAGATGTAAACTCATGTAATGCAACACAAGGGCTAATATGAATGTCAGATTGTTCTTTTTAAAGTAAATAGGTTGTGGCTTGCACTGATGGGGGTAATCTTGGATCTATTGTTAAACTTAAGATGGTTTACACTTTTTTCCCTCGCATTATGTCACTTTAGGTTTCATTTGTTAAGGCGGGTCTGGTTCTTAAGGTTTCTTCTGTTAACTTTGTGAAAGGAGAAAATGCTGATATCATATGGATTTTCATCTTTTCAATGAAACAGGTTGTATTAAAATATTTTAACTCATTAACCAAAGAACCTCAAGAGATCTAAGTGGCAAAAACAATGCCACTGGATTAAAATAAATTCTTGAAGTTATGGAGGCTCAATTCTGTTTTTCATACTATTGCCAAGATTTTTCTCCAAGCCTGGGAAGATTTGAAGAACAGTTCTACAATATGGTCATTTGTTCTAGGGGTTGTTCTATGGACCATTTGGAAAGTCAGGAATTCCATTGTGTTCGAAGAGGGGAAGTTAGACCACACTGAATTATTTTTCTTAGCAAGGGTTAGGCTTTCTTCATTGTTTTTAGCCAAGTATAAGGAGATCTCTATCCCCAAGGATTCTCTTATCTCTGATCCTTCTATAGGGGATTCTTGTTGCTCCTCCAATAAGGTGGTTGTAACTAAGATCCCTTGGCTTCCTCCTCCTAAGGGCTTCATCATAGTTGTAAAAAGCGCGCCTGAGGCGCAAAAGCGCAGAGGCTCACTGAACGGGAATTTTTCAACACTGAAGCGAGGCACGTAGCCTAGGCGCAGCGAGGCTCTGAGTCGCGAGGCTCAGTCAAGGCGCATACATCTTCTTCGTTCTTGCTCATCTTCGCGAGAGCTCTACTGGCGTCTTTTCCGGCAAAAATGGCGTATGCACCGCCGGGACCATAGAAGGATTTGCCGGAATGCAACCGTTGATTGCAATGTAGATGGGCTTAGATGGGTCGGAGCCGTTTAATTGGAGAAGCTGCTGGGGTTAAGATCCATTGAAAGTTGCGCTGCAACCAGAGACACCGCTGGTTTTTGCCTTGGTTTGGTAATAAATAAACTCAAGTTGGGTCATGCTATGACACATGTCTTACTTTTGGTGAAGCTAGTTTAGATTCTTCAACGATAGGTGATTAATCATGAACTTGGACCTAAGAAAATTCCTTTTAGAGAAATATTTAAGAGTAAAGGACACTACTGACTACACTAGTCAATGAACTATGCTTATACCTTCATTTTCATCATCTAATTTTTAAAAATTATAAAATACTCTTTTATTAAATTGTTATAAAATAATAATTAAATTTTTTGCTACAAACCTGTATGTTGCACACGATCTATTCGGTCTTCACTCTAAACATTGATGGGTTCGTGTTGGTTTTTGAAGCTGGTGGCAACCTTCATCAAATTTAGCTAGTCACGAACAGAGATTTTAATTACGAACATAATGGATATTATTACGAATTTACGATCATTACAAATATCACAATCATCCAATAATATTTTTTTATGATGCCATTACCGACTTACCGCTATATAATGACTATTATTCGAATACCGAGAAATATCACGGTAAAGAGTTCTCAGCATGATCATTGCTACCATACCCGAAAGGAAGAGAACAATCATCAAAGAATTTACGATTGAGAATGAACTCTATTGAAGCCTAATATTGGGTATCTATGATATTTGAGTTAGATTGCATTAATATATACATGTATTACAATTTTTTGGATATTATGCGCCTCGCCTTCGTGAATCCCGCGTTTTTCATGCGCCTCGCGCCTCAAGGCTCCAGGACACTTTGCGCCTCGATGCGCCTTGAGCCTTTGATAACTTTGGGCTTCATTAAATTGAATGTTGATGCTGCTACTAGTTCCGACTGGAAGAGAAGTGGATTAGGTGGAGTTTTAAAAGGTTATACTGGTTTGATTGTAGGCTCTTTTAAGGAGTCTTCTGGTCCGGGCCCTCCAACCTTGATGGAGCTTAAAGCAATTCAAATGGGATTATCTTTCTTTGTCTCTTTTTCAGGAATTATTAAGGATCGTTTGATAATAGAGAGTGATAGCAGAGTGCTAGTGGACTGGATTAAGAACGTTGAATTATACCCAGATGTGTACGCTTTTATTGTTAAAAATATAGTTGATAGGCTTAAAGGTTTTCAAGGAATTGTTAGATGGGTTGCTAGGACGGCTAACTTAGAGGCTGACGCCTTAGCTAAGGCAGTAATAGGTTGAGTTCAGTGTTGTTGTTTACGATTGTCTTATGGTTTTCCGTTTCTGTAAGGGTTGTTTTCTTTGGTGTATTTCTTATGTAACTTTCTTGTGATGAATAAAATCTTAAGGCACTCTTTTCCTCCTTCCGCTGATTAAGGAGCTTCCCTACGAGCTCCATTAATCAAGAAAGGGGTTTTTAACGAGGCCTGCAATTCTTATAAAAAAAAAGGGAACTAGAAGGGGTAGAAGTGCAAACTGGTTTATGCTTGTTATTTGTGTTTGCCACTTTGACACCTAAAAGGTTAGCAATAGGAGCATTTTGTATGAGGCTAACCTGTAATTCTCCAGGCTAGTTGTGTTTTCAATTCTATTTCATTTCTCAAAGTTGGGATCTTTTTAAATTTTGCTAGTCACTTTTGTACTGTTGACATTTAGTTCAGCATTTGTTATATTTTCTCTTTATTAATTGTTTTTGTTGCTTGATATAGATTTCTTCTTCTTTTCCTCCATCATTTAGATATATATGGGATTGACTTGCATATTTTATTGGTCAGATTCTTGCCTAGGATTGCTGATTCCTTAGTATCTCTCCTCAAAAGTGGTGCAGATAAGGAGCCAGATATCGTTGAGCAGGTTTGGCTATTCTCTTCTGAGTAGTTCTTCATGTGTTAGAATTGTTTTTCTTGTTTGATGTTGGCCTTAATCTTGTTAATTACTGATTGGCTCTTGCCTCTGCCACCTTTTCATGCAGATATTCACTTCATGGTCGTACATCATGATGTATTTGCAGAAGTATCTCGTAAGGGATGTCATACATGTTCTCAAGTGAGTGTTTTCTTGACTCTTGCTTTTACAAAGCTTGTTGGATGCATTGGTAGCTTTTATAGTTGGATGGTTCTTTTCAATTTTAACTTTCTTTGGAAGCGAAAACATTTTTCTTTATATTTTTTCTGGGTCAGGAGAACAAAATGTTGAATTAAGGAATTTTTACAGTTGAACAGTTCTCTTAAAAACATGGTTTCCTCCTTAATGGGGAAAAGAAACCATGTCTGGTTAATGGTAGGGCATAAAGATGGTTTAAGATGATTTTTTAGGCTTCATCACAATACTGAGGGAAGTGTTTAAATTCTATGAAGATATTTATATTTTCATTATGCTGAACGTTATCTTTTGAACTCTATATCTTTAATGCTATATGTTTTTGATGTTGCATTCTATCTTGAAAGATACCTATCAGTTAAACAGTTTTCCAACGAGTTTGACAAGAAGAAGAAATTTAAGGTGTACAAGATATAATGAGCGAGAAAGGTAGAGAGAGAGTGAGTGAGAGTTCGAAGGGTTTTGTTCGTCCGGCCAGAGGTAGTTCTTTGTCTGGAGGAGTTTCGTGGGTTGCTTTCGTGGATAATCTTAGTAGGCGTGTGCAAAGAAGTGCATTATGGGATCGTTTTAGTCATTGTGGCAAGGTGATTAAGGTCTTTATTCCATTCGTTAACAGGAGACCTTATTATAAGGAAAATACGTTTGCTTTTGTACATTTTGCGAGCAAAAATGATCTGCATCATGCAGTTGAAAAGATGAATAACGTATCGTTCGATGGGAGGAGAATATCTGTGTCGATAGCTAAGTATCAGAAGAAAAGTACTCCGTCGAGCTTTAACCGTACGAATGTGGGGAGGTCTTCAGTTGCTGGTACAGATGAGTTGCGGAAGAAATTATCATTGCCAGCTGCAGTTGCAGAGAAAGTGGAGTTTTTGAATAAGTTTTATGATGGAAGGTCCTATAAGGATTCGGTTGTCGGAACAAAAGAAGTTGAGGGCCAGAAAGTGGGGAGTATTGGAGAAAAGGTAGAAGGGAAGACGTCGAGGGATATTTTTATTCCAATGGAGGATAGGACTTGGCTTAGAACGTCTTTAACTGGTATTTGCAAGCCAATATTTGAAGTTGAATTTGTGCAAAGGGCGTTAGGATCTGAGGGAATCAATGTCAAAGTGCGTAAATGGGGATATGCAAAAAACGCCTGTCTGGTAGTTTTCCAGACTGTTGAGGAGAAAGTTTCAACGATGGAAAACAAGTGGGAAGCCTTGTCCTTTTGGTTCGATAGGTTGGAGCAAGTTATGGAAGAAAAAGGAATTCCACTACCTCATTGTCAAGTTTCTATGATTGGTGTTCCTCTTAATTGCTGGTCAGTCCCTTTCTTCACTAGCTTGGCGTCGAAATGGGGCAAACTAGTTAAGATACAAGAACAAACTGCTAAAAAAGTGGATTGTAGAGTAGCCCATATGTTGTTAAGGGTCGAAAGTCCTTTTGATATTCCTCCCCATATAACTATTAATACGTATGGGAGATCGTTCTTGATCAAGATTAAGGTGGAAGGAAGTGAGGATTTTTTTCCGAAGCTTGAGGATTTGGTTGAAGATGATGAAACAGTAAACAATGGGTTGATCTTGCCGGAAGAGAGCCTTGGTGTTGATATCGATGAGCAGGAAGGGAGGTTGAGTGAGCAGGCGTTGTCAGACAACCATAACAGTGTACAAGCATGGGCCTTGGAATCCTCTCAAGGGGAGCGCACAATTTTCGATGGACAGTTGGAGGGAAAAGGGGTTTTTCAAAATATAGTGGCAGTTGATGTATGTGCAGAGGAGACAGTCCTTGATGAGGATCAGGGCCAGCAGAAAAAGATGGGGGCTGGTACAGATGAGAGAGAATGGGTGGTTAACAGGGGTGAGGTATCTTTGGGGCTTGACATTGGTGACCAAGTTAACGGGCTCATGGGTACTGTGGGTAGGGTAGAAGTCTTTGGGCCTATTCAGGGTAGTCCAAGTTCTAATAGAGGTGGTTACAAGCCTGATGAATTGGCTAATGCTAGGGGTGAATGTGGAGGTCCTCAGCAGACAGGTTTGAAGGCTTCAGAGCTAGATTTGCTGTAGTTCAGGATGGAACAATTGGGTTACAAGTCAGTAAAGTTCCTGCTAGGAGGTGTTCTTCTTCCCCTCCAACATATCGTGTTCATCCCCCTAAGGTAGCTACCATTTTCTGTGACAGAGTTTACAGCAGATCTAATAAGAAGAATAAAAGAGATGATTCGAATAAGGGTTTTGCCGCAATTGATTTTCCGATTGAGAATGACGAATTGGAAGTAACTTGGCAGGTTAGCCAAATGTTAGGTGTTAATTTTGAGGGGGGTAAGAAAGCTTTTGCTGAGAAATTTTCCGAGTCTTATTCGGTTAGGGGGGAAAAGGGTGGTTATTAACCCTTATATTTGGTTGAAGGTTTTGTAATTCTATTATTATGGTACGTGTCTCTTGTGTCACTTGGAATATTAGAGGTTTAGGGAGGATGGAAAAGGCTAGGGCAGTGAGAAAGGTGGTTGTTGATAAGAAACCGTCGTTTCTTTTTCTGCAAGAAACGAAATTGGAGGTGGTTCTGTAGGTTTGAGGAGGAAGTTGGGGGGTAAATATCTAGGTGGGATGGTGGATTCTCAGGCTGTGGGTGCATCAGGAGGATTGGTTTCTTTTTGGGATGAGGATTGGTTTTTACCTCATGTGGTGAAAATCTCACCAAGGTTTATAGCTTTGAAGGGTATAGTAAAGGAGAACCAAGTGGTGTGTTGTTTTATTAATGTGTATGGACCCTCTGTTGAAGCAGATAAAGAGGCATTTTTTGAGGAGTTATCCAGTTTTATTGCTACATTGGGGTGCCCTTTATGTGTAGCTGGAGATTTTAATGCTCATTTGTCACAGGAAGAAAAGTGGGGGAAAAATCTGTATGAAAAATTCTATTGGGTGGTTCAGGGAGTTTCTGTTTCATTCAAGTTTGATGGATCTGCCTTTGGTGGGAGGAAGTTTTACTTGGGGTAACAACAGGGAAGATCCTACATTTGTGAGGTTGGATAGGTTTTTAGTTTCTGCCGAATTCTTAGACTTATTCCCGGATGTTGTTCAGCTGTTATTACCTAAGTCAATTTCAGATCACAATGCTGTGGCATTGGATTCCAGTAAGATTAATTGGGGTCCGAAACCCTTTAAACTGTTCAATTACATCATGGAGGAGGAGGGTTTTAAGGAAGCTGTGGAAAAGAAAATTTCACAAGCAAAGAGTAGGAAGAGGATGAGCATTGAGGAGTTACTTAGAGCTACAAAGGTTGAAATCAAGAAATGGTCTAATGAAAGCAGATTGCAACTTCAAAGTTTGATTGACAGCAAAGAGAGACTAATTTCGAACCAAGAAGCTCTATTACAACAAAGGAATCCTTCCGTTTCTATGGTGGAAGTTGCAAAAGAAAAAAGTGAATTATGGATGTTATATAAAAAAGAAGAATTAGTCTGGTTCCAGAAATCAAGGGCGCAGTGGATTATGGATGGAGATAGAAATTCAAGGTATTTTCATCAATGTGCTACAAATAGAGGGAGGAGGAATGCTCTTAATTCTTTGGATGTGAGTGGAAATTTGATTGTGGATCCGATAAGGATAAAAGCTGCTATTTTTTTGAATTTTTCAAGAACGCTTACAATGCCATTCCTTCGGTTGAAGTTGAGAAGTTGGAATTGAATTTTTCTAGACTTTCGGAGGATCAAGTTGCTCAATTAGATATGATTTTTTCAGAAGAGGAAGTTTGGGAAGCAATTCTTTCTTCGGATAGCAATAAAGCTCCAGGTCCTGACGGATTGAACTTAGGTTTTTTCAAGAAATTTTGGCCGGTTTTGAAAGGTGACATTCTTAAGTTTTTTGAAGATTTTTACAGAGGGAAGAAGTTTGGGAAAGGTGTCAATCATTCCTTCATCACTCTAATTCCGAAGAAGCAGATTCCAGTATGCATTGAGGATTACAGACCAATCAGTTTGGTAGGAGGACTTTACAAAATCTTGTCTAAAGTTTTGTCAAGAAGGTTAAGGCAGTGCATAGGGGGGTTAATTGGTCATTCTCAATTTGCTTTCATCCCGGGAAGGCAGATTTTGTGACTGCTCCTTAATTGCTAATGAAGCAATCGATTTTTGGAGGAGGAAAGGAAGGGAAGGTCTTGTCTTCAAAGTGGATTTCAAGAGGGCCTACGACACTGTTGATTGGAATTTTTTAATCAAAATTATGGAGTGTATGGGGTTTAGTAGAAGATGGAGGTCGTGGATTCATAATTGCTTAAGTTCAACTTCTATTTCAGTTCTTGTCAATGGCTCTCCAACTGAAAGTTTTAACATATCTAGGGGGCTGAGACAAGGGTGTTCTCTATCCCCGCTTCTGTTTAATATAGTGGGTGAATTTCTGAATCTACTGTTGTCTAAAGCAGTAGCATTGGGGCTGTTTGAGGGCTTTCAATTAGGTTCTGATAATTCTTCGCCGATGCTGTCTCATCTACAATTTGCGGATGACTTGATTATTTTTTGTAAAGCTTCAAAGGGTCAATTGGCAAATCTGAAGAGGGTTTTGGTTGTTTTTGAGTTATGTACTGGGCTGCAGCTGAATTTGATGAAGAGCAGAATTTTTGGTATCAATTTACTAGACAACATTGTTGGGGAATGGGCAGATTCTATTGGTTGTTTAAGAGACTCCTTTCCGACAGACTACTTGGGGTTACCATTAGGTGCTAAGAGGAATTCAATTCAACTTTGGGATCCGATTGTAAATAAGTTTTATCAGAAATTAACAGGCTGGAAAATGTCTTCTTTATCAATAGCAGGAAGGTCAGTCTTGATTAATTCAGTCTTGAATGCTTTGCCTAATTACTATATGTCACTTTTTAAAATGCCAGTGGTTGTGAGGAAGAAACTGGAATCTATTTTGGCCAACTTCTTATGGGGTTCTTCGGCTGAGAAGAAAAGGCTTCATTGGGTTAATTGGAATACAGTCTGTAAAAATAAAGAGTTGGGGGGATTGGGGATTTCGGATCTAAAATTACGGAATAGAGCTTTATTGGGCAAGTGGGTTTGGAAGTTTGGTACGGAGAAGGACTCTTGGTGGAAGACATTGATTTGTTCTAAGTATAATGTGGGATCGAGCTCTATTGTATTAGATGATAATTTGCCCTCTAATGTGTCTTGGATTTGGAAAGGTGTTTTAAATAACTATGGTCTAACGACTCATTTGGATTATGCTTTCGAAATAATCTCGTGCTTCAGGTGGGAAAAGGAGAATCCATCAGATTTTGGCTTGATTCTTGGGTTTCTAATGTTTCCTTGAAGACTTTGTTTCCTAGGCTCTTTGCTTTGTCTGTTAATAAGGAAGGTGTTGTGGCTGATTTTGGGTGTTTGTCGAATGGGGAGTGGGTGTGGGATTTACAACTTAGGAGGAATTTAATAGATAGTGAGTTTGAACATTGGATGGAACTGATGGTGTTGCTGGATAATTTTCGCCCGCTGTTGAAGGGTGGAGACCGTGTTGTGTGGAAAGGTAGTGGGGATGGTGAGTTCTCGGTTAATTCTTGCTCAAGATTATTTTCAAGTTTAGCAGAATCTGACAATTCTTGGTTGGAGATTGTGTGGAAGGGATTAGTCCCACCAAAGGTAGAGATTTTCCTGTGGCAAGTTATTCATCAGAAGATGGCTGCCAAAACTGTTTTATTGAGAAGAGGGGTTAAAGATATCGAAAACCCTCTTTGTGTGTTCTGTGGAGAGGAACCGGAATCTGTCAGTCACTTATTCTTTTCCTGTGTCCAGGTTTGGCAAATTTGGATAAAACTATTCCGTTTGTGGAAAGTTATTTCAGTTCTTCCTAATAATCCGAAAGGCTTCTTGCTTTCATGGTTGCATCTTAGACCCTACTCGGATATTTGGAGATTTATTCCAGGAGCAGTTTTGTGGTCTGTTTGGCTGTGCCGGAACCAGATTGTTTTTGAGAATGGCAAGATGGATAAAGATAATTTGTTCTTTTTGGTGAGGTATAGGGTGGCATCATGGTTTGTAGCAAAGAACAAGGATTTGTCTATTCATTTGGACAGCCTTGTGGGAGATCTTACTTTGGCGGATAAGCATAAATCCCCCTCTAATTTTCGACTGTCAAGATTAAAATGGTGCCCTCCTCCTTCCGGGTACTTTAAGATGAATGTTGATGGGGCAGTCAGTTTTGACTGGAGAAGGAGTGGTATTGGTGGAGTTCTTAAAGATGATGGAAATAACAAGCTGGTTTCCTTCTCTACAGCTTTAGGACCTTGTTCCCCTATTCTAGCTGAGATTTATGCGATCAAAGCGGGATTAGATATGTTTTTTGATTCAGTTTGGAGGGACAAAGGATATCTGATTTTAGAAAGTGACTCGTTTCTGGCAGTGAAATGGATCAACAGCCCGGATCTCTGCCCGGTTCACCTCGTTGATTTTATTACAGAAATTCAGAAGTCAGTTGGGCTTTATAATGTTGTCATTAGGCATATCAGCAGATGTATTAATGAGGAAGCTGATGGTCTAGCTAAGTCAGGAATTGGTTAGTGAGTGTGGAGGTTGTTTTTAGGAGCTGTGCTTTTGGTATTTTATTTTGGTTAGGTTTCTTTGTTTAGGCAATCTTTTGTAATGTTTGGTAATCTTATGTAATTGTTGGCTATTAATCTACTAAGGCACTCTTTTCCTTCTTCCGCTACTTGTCTCCTTTAAGAGACAACTATGAGGAAGGTTTTTAATGAGGCCTTCTATTCCTATAAAAAAAAACGAGTTTGACAAGAATATAATGGAAGGTTTTGTTTTCTGGGTTGAAGAGGCCAATTTATAAATAATGAAAAGTTTGTAGCAATCTATCTGGCTTATGTTCTTTGTTCATTGTTTTGAAGGGTTACTGTGGGGCTGCTATATAATGAAAAATTTGTAGCAATATATCTGGCTTATATTCTTTGTTCATTGTTTTGAAGGGTTACCTTGAGGCTGAGATATTACCCAAGGGATTATGTCCAAGAGTTTATGGCAGAGACTACATCATTCTTGCTGCGGAATGCACCTGTTGAGCAACTTATAAAAGGTATCGGCTGGCTATGATTGAAAACTTGTTTCAAGTTACCTTTTTTATGATCCTTAGAACATGTTTTTAATGTTGTTGTTGTGTTTTATTTTCTTTTGGTAAGATTTTTTTCCAGTTGGGAATACATTTGCCTTTTCATTTTTGACAGAATTTTCTTAAATAACCCAAGGTTAACCAATTAATAATTCTAAGGTCTAAAGCACTTTTGGAACTGTCCCCTTTTTCCCCTCATAAAAAAATCGTAAAGATGACACCAAAATTCCTTTTTTACGTTAGAGATGTTGCTTATTGCATTTTGTTTTATAGGCTTTTATGGTATATTATTATGTAGCATGATCATAGACATTCTTGTTGCAATTTTCTTACCAGATACTCTGTGATGCTCCTCCTTTCCACTTAATTTGTTTTTTCTTGCATTTTGCATTTATATGATATAGAATCAAAGAATGAATCCGGTTGAACCAAGAAAGTGTTTATCACATACGTTTGTTTTTTTTTTGATAGGAAAGGTAGGCCTCTTTAAAAACCCCCTTCATGATTAACGGATCACACGGTGCTCCTTAATCAGCGGAAGGAGGAAAAGAGTGCCTCATTAATTCATTGATAACCACAAGTTACAGATACTTAAAACAACCATACAATCAATCATTCAAATAAGCAACCCAAACCTAATAGAAACCCAACTAAAAACCAAAGATCTACCCAATACCAGCCTTAGCTAAGCTATCAGCCTCAACATTGGCTGACCTTGCAATCCATCTAATACTACTATTCAGTCCACTAACCTTGCCACCAATAGCTGTCACAATGTCTAAGTAAACATAGGGACAACGGTTGATGTCCTTGACCCATTCCACTGCTAATTTACTGTCTGATTCAACAATTAACCTTTCCTTAAACCGCTGCTGAATCGAGTCAAAGAAAGATAACCCTTTCAAAATTGCCTTTAGTTCTAACAAAACTGGAGGACCTGGACCAGCAGCCTCTTGAAAAGAGCCCACCACCGAACCATCATGATCTCTAAGAATGCCCCCAACACCACTCTTCCTCCAATCTGCAGTCACAGCCGCATACGTTTGTTGTTCATGATGTGGTTGTGTTGCTTTGTTGAATCAGATTTTGATTTTTCTATTTGATTTTGTGGCTTATATATTCTAATTTTGATTTAAAATAGGTATTAAGAAGACCATGTTTGAAGTTGTGAAGAAACCGTTACCTATCCGAAAGTCTGGAGTTAGTGCTCTGTTATGCTACATTATGTTAGGAACCTCGTCAAGGTTCCATTCTGGAGCAGAGCGAGTTTTGCGATTATTGATGGATAATTCAATATTTGCTATTGGTGATAAGTTCCCTGAAGGTATTTCATTTATCACTGATAATGCTTTTCTTATAGACCACTGATGTGTATGTAGATGAGTTTCTGATCAATTTTTTCTCTCATGGCGTTAGGACTTAATTCATCTGTGAAAAATTTGAAGAATGAACTGTTCTGCACAGCTTAAGCTTACATTAACAGATCCCCACACAACCCAAAAAAGCATAACCCACTACATAAATAAAAATGGTACAAGGGTAGGGGGATATGCGGGACTAAAATAAGCATAACAAGAAGAAGTTGATATGGAATTGTTTTCAGGTTTTAATTTAGGTGTTCAAGATAGAGCATTTAAGCTTTCGCATTTGCAATTTGCGAATGACCTTATAATTTTCAGTGAAGGCTCTATTTGTGATTTGAGGAATGTTAGAAGAGTGTTATTAATATACGAGTTATTGGTGGGGTTGAAGCTTAATCTAGTTAAGAGCAAAATTTATGGTATTAACATTGAGGATGGGGTTTAGCTACTTGGGCTAATGATATTGGTTGTTCGGTAGGCTATTTCCCATCAGAGTATCTAGGTTTGCCCTTGGGGTACAAGAGGAATTCGACTACTATGTGGGAGCCAATAGTGAAGAGATTTCATGCTAAGTTGAGTGGTTGGATGTCTAATTCCCTGTCGCTTGCAGGAAGGGTGGTATTGGTTAAATCAGTGTTGTGCTCGCTTCCAGTTTATTTTCTTTCCATTTTCAGAATTCCAACTTCTGTGCTGAAGAAACTTAATTCTTTCATGGCTTCATTTCTGTGGGGGGTGCGGCGGATAAAAAAAATATCCACTGGTTCAATTGGAATTCGGTTAGTAAACCAAAAAGATTGGGGGGTCTAGGGGTCCCGAATATATCACTCTTGAACAGAGCATTATTGGGGAAGTGGATTTGGAAGTTTGCATCAGAGAAAGAGTCTTGGTGGAAGAGGGTGGTATGTGATGTATATGATATGGATCCGAAAGGCATAATGATGGGGAACTCATGGCCAGCTCGTTCATCTTGGATTTGGAGAGGAGTGGTAAAAAATTTCTTCACCGAGGATGGTTTTGGGGATTGTATTAGAAAGAATATGCGTTTGAAGACAGGGAAGGGGAATTCTGTGCAATTCTGGAACGATGTATGGTTGGGTGAAATACCTTTGAAAATTCAATTTCCTAGACTCTATGTTCTTTCGAGCAACACATCGGCTAAAGTGATGGAGTTAAGGGTGAATAATGGCGCTGGTTGGGTGTGGGACATTCAAATGAGGCGAAATTTAGTAGATTGGGAGGTTGATCAGTTGCTGCACTTGATTTCTATGTTGAACAATATCTCTATATCTCTATGTGAGGAAGACTGTTGGATTTGGTCAGGGAATGGAGAGGGTTGTTTTTCAGCTAAATCTTGTATCAACATTTTCCTTGATCAAGATTGTATTCAGCAGGAAAAGGAGTCGTGGGAGAGGCATATTTGGGTAGGGATTGCTCCTCCACGAGTGGAGACTTTTGTTTGGCAAGTTGCTCATCGGAGAGTGGCGGTTAAGGAGGAATTGTTGAAGCGAGGAATGGCAGGGATTGATGATCCTTTATGTTCATTGTGTGGTAGGGAAATGGAATCAGTTTCACATCTCTTTTGCATTGCGAGGTAGTATGGGGTCTGTCGTCCAAATTTTTGAATTTCTGGAATTTGTCTTTTGTGATTCCAAAGAATATCATTGAGTTTTTCAATTTGTGGGACGATTTACTTACGAACTCTTTGATCTGGAAATTTATTCCAAGGGCGTTGATGTGGTCCGTGTGGAAATGCAGAAACGAGGCTATTTTTCAGAAAGTAAAACTGGATGTGGTGAGATTGTTCTTTATTGTGCGTTTTAGAACAGCTTCCTGGTTTGTTGCAAAATTCAAGGATGTGCATATCCCTTTAGACTCACTTGTGGGTGATTTAAAACTTGCTGATTTGGTGGGAAGACAAGGAAATGGTAAGTCTAAACCAATTTGTTGGGTTCTTAAAGCTAAATGTTGATGGAGCGATGGCAAAGGGCTGGGATAAGGGAGGTATCGGTGGTCTGATTCGGGACAGCAAAGGAGTGTTGCTTCAATGGTTTTCAGAAAGAGTTGGGGGTGGTCCTCCTATCTTGGTAGAATTATTGGCGATTAAGAGGGGGTTATGTCTTCTAGAAGATTTAAGTTCTGTTTTTAATCAGAGGTTTATTCTTGAATCATATTCAAGCAATGCTCTGAAGTGGATCAAGAATCCGAGTTTATGCACTCCTATGTTTCAATTATTGGTGAAGGATATAGTCTTTCTTATGGAAGGGAAGGATATCATTATTAGGCATATCTTGAGGGCTACAAATTGGGAAGCTGACAAATTAGCAAAAGATGGGATAGGGTGATGTTTTGGTTTCTGTCTGATTGTGTTGAGGTGTAGGAAATTTTATTTCTAATGTTTAGCTGTTGTGTTTAAGTTTTATGTAATTCATGGTGGTGTTAGCAGATGTTTAGGGTCTGCCTATGTTGTACTATTGTTTCATCTAATAAATTTCTAGGCACTCTTTTCCTCCTTTCTTTGTCCTTCATGTTACTTACATAACATGGAGGGTGAAAAAGGGGTTTTTAATGAGGCCTAATCTTCTTTAAAAAAAAAGATCATTGAATATTTTTATTAGGCGTTTTATCTGTAGATGAGATTTGAGCCCTGGACTTTTGTTTGCCTGACAATAGTCACTGTAGTTACGATTTCCTTAGTGAATGTATTTGTAGGAGATGCATGTTTACGCTAGGTGGCTGCTCTGCCTTGGTGCCACTTTCTCCGAGAATTTGATTTTTACTTTGCATCAGATAGTGTCTTCCAGCTGTGTATTCTTTATGCCTTTTTGCAGACTAAGTAATGACAAGATATGAGCTTAAAAAGTTAAAGAGCAATGTTCTGTTTTCTTTGTTAGCTCTTTTTTAGGTTACAGATTTTGTTGACTTCATGCTATCTTGTTTTGGTTTTGGTTGGTTGATCATAAGTACCATATTTCAGCTTACCTTTGTAGTAGTATGGTTTATCTTGTTTCTAGAAGCTATTGCTTAGAGACTGGTTTCCCTTTTTATCTTGTTTTATTTGGTGCTTAGGGTGTGCTTTCTCTTGCAGGTTCAGATTCTATTCTTGAAGTTGTGACTGCTACCTTTCAAAATTACCTGAGGAGCTAAACCCTAAGGAGTTGGTTCTAATGTGGGAGTGCTTGTATCAGGAAATAAGCGACTCTCTAGCTAACAAATCTTTCTTGCATCTAAGCCGCATTTTATCTCTGTTAATATCTTGTATTCAGGTTGATAGTGGGTATGGTGTATCAGGTGAGTTGATAATGGTCTTCATATAGTGGTATCTTTCTTTTTAATATGTTTGATGTTATTTCTGTCATTCTTTTACCATTTACGGTTCAATTTTCTTGTTAATGTGGTGCAGACTATCAACAGATGCTTGAAGTTATAGAGTCCTTGGTGCTGAAAGTTGTACTTCCTTCGAGCAAAGAAAATGGCAGTTTCTCTGAAGTTGTTGATAAAGTTCTGCAACTAATGCTACACATTCTTGATGGACTCCATGGATCTAATAATTTGTCTACCATCTCTGGCTGTGTGTCACAGTGGGCTCCTGTATTTGAGTTGAGAAACTCAAGGTAGTGTCTTTCCAGAATCAGTCAGATATGTCCATCTTTAGCTCAGCTCCTTCTATTTTCTTGACATGCTGTTGTTTCAATTTCAGCTTGTTGACTTTTCTTAGAGAACTACTGCTGAAGGACCAACACATTATATATATTTTTAGAGATTATGCTTTAAGGTAATATTAACATCTAAGTTGTAATTTGAATCTTTCTTTACTCTTTCTGCTTTAGCTGCAGTTTTTGAAAACTTTTACTTGAATTTTCAGTGCTATGAATGATCTGGTAGAATCTTCAGAAGAAGAAGTTATATGCCTGTTACTGTGTTTCTTTGAGAGACTGCAAATGCACCCTCAAAGCACTATATTCTTAGATGAGATGTCCGGAGGGAAATCTTGGAAGATATGTGATTATATGAAAGGGGCTCTCAGTAACTGGATCAGGCTTATAAATGACCTAGTAAATGGGAATTCGTCAGCTGCTCAAATTGATGGCGCCAAGTTGGCTATCTTGTGGGGAATTATTAGCTGCTATCCATATATGTTTGATGTCCAAGCATATGAGTCTGTGCTGATAGAGTTGATAGATGCACTTCATCGACTTCTAATGATTGTGGATGGTAAGTAATCCTGCATTTCATCTTCCTTTTCCTGTGTGTACTCTGAAACATTGCTGTTTTTTGTTGCCTTGAATACATATCTTTGACGTGTTAAGGAATCACTTCTTTATTTTTATTATTCTTCAATCTGTTTGTAGTATCTTATGCTGTTTTCCTTTGGTTTTCTTGTATTCTTTCAGAAAGTATTGCAGGTGTTTCCAAAAACACTTGGGAGAGCCTAATTGGTGCTGCTTTAGGTTCTCATAACAAATGGCATAATGCAAAAGAGGTTGGGTTTGGAGAAATGAGCAAAGTATTAGACCTTTCCAAGGCCTGCAAATCATCCTCACAAGTACTATCTGCTGCCGCTGATTACTTGGATAATGTGTATGGGTATGCTATCATTTCCCTCCCCTCTCTCTCTCTCTCTACACACACACACATATACACATTTTCTCAACAAACCCAAGGTTATGTAGTGGTTTTTAACTCCAGTGGGATTAAGGCCCATCTGGTGATTTCCTTCTTCCCCACTGGCATTGTACAAATTTCCAAATGCTGACTGAACATATGCACATATGTTCATTCTGGTCTTGTTTGTTTTATTTATTAAGAACACAGTCACACATGCTCTTTCCGATCATGTCAATCTATTGCACTTGTTGGACGTTGGTCACTGGTTATGTCTGAAAACATCATACAAATGATAGGCCCACATTGCAAGCAGATAGTCGCAAGGAAATATGCCATCCCTTGCTTAAAGAGGAGAATATGATGGATGCAGTTAGCATATTTGCTGATAATTTGTGCTACCCAGATAAAGGGATTCGTCTCCCTACTCTAAGAATTTTGTGCCACTACGAGCATCTCAGTTGCGGAACTTCTGCTAAAGATCAACCTGCTGAGAAGAAAACGAAAACGGAGGATTCTCAGGCTGCTACTATTGGTACCAATGAAAGCAATGTATGTGCACTATGTTCTGCTGCATTTATTCTTTGGCATGAGCACTTACCGGATAACTTATATGAATATACTTCCTTTTGAAACAGGTTCTTCAGCAATTAATGTCTATCGAGGCTACTACTCTTTCAATTTCTACCGGCAGGAAAGTTACCTTATTGATTTCTAGAATACAAATGGACCTCTCTGCTGGCAGGATACCTGAAACATATGTACCTCTTGTTTTGAACGGGATAATTGGCATATTCTATAATCGTTTTAGCTATCTATGGGATGCAGCTTCTGAGTGCCTTGCAGTTCTGATTAGCAAGCACACTGGACTTGTATGGGATAAGTTTATTTCTTATTTTGAACGATGCCAGTCCCTGGTACAGGCATCTGATGTCCAACTTGACAGAGAAAATGCAACTTTATCTAATGCATCTAGTGGTATGTGAAGATTTGGCTATTAAATTGATTTTGGTTTGTCGTTTGGTTTGTCTTGTCATTGGTAAATTTTTATTTTTGAAAGCATGGTCCAGAACATCCATTTGATCATTTCTATCATTATTATAATATGGATTTCTAATTTCCTTCCTGGTTTTGATGGTCAGATCTTGTAAGACAATTCAATTTGTTTGTGAATCCTTCATCTGATAACACGCCAGACACAGCAGTTTTGTCTTTGTTCCTCCAAACTTTGCAAAAGGTTTCTTCTGTTGCCGAGTCTCGATCCCGTCAAATTATACCCCTATTTTTAAGGTTTTTGGGCTACGATAGCGATAATCCTGTGAGGTAGTCATCTTCTTCATTAATTTGTTTTTATTATTATGTAATCATCGGCTCAAATCATCTTATAGGAGTTGGTTTATTTTCTCTTTTGGATTGCAGCTCAGGTTCGTTCAATTCTGACATTTATGAAGGGAAAGAGTGGAAGGGTATCCTTAAAGAATGGCTAAGCTTGTTAAAAATGATGAGGAACCCCGGAGCATTCTATCGAAGTCAATTTCTAAAAGATGTTCTGCAATATAGGTCAGCACTTTATAGTGTCTCAGTTCTTGCTAGGGATGGCCATGGGTCGGGTTGGGTTTTTGGTCCACCCGACCCGACCCGAGAACAAGGGAGCTTCCACCCGAGACCCGACCAAAACAAGGTTTCACCCGACCCAACCCGACCCGAAATAATAAAAAAAATATTTTTATTCAATAAAAATAGTGATTTAATTGAAAAAAAGTATATATAAAGGGATATTATTGTAATTATATCTAAATATATAAGGTAAAATTATATATTTTTTCCGGGTCGGATATTTTTTCACCCTAAACCCTAAACCCGAACCCGAACCCGAACCCGAACCCAATTTTTTTTAAAAAAATCCAACCCGATCGGTTCAGAACCCGTCGAGTTCGGGTTGAGTGCCCATCCCTAGTTCTTGCTTCCTTTTCATTGTCTTAGTCGTCATCTCTGGTACATGAACTCGATAGTTTAAGGCACCGTACTCATCTCAACATGACACAACACAACACGTATACGGGTATTGAATGTGAATCCAAATCCTTGATGAACATTTGGACTTGGCTACTACTTCAGATGAGTCTATTCACAGATCAGAAAAAGATACTAAGATTAGAGATTATTCTAGTAGATTGTTGGCTTAAAGGAGATTGCATCCTGGTAGACCCGCATTTGGATGAAATCTACTTAGATCCTAAGCATGAATTGAAGATTAAATTACAGTTACTGCTATTAAGAAAGAGAGACCGAGGTGAAGTACTTGAAAGCATAGTGTATAAATGGAGAAAGAGATGAAAGTTACAGAGGAAAAACAGAGAGAGAATGAAACAATAAAAGTAAAGAAAGAGATCTAGGAAGCTCGGACACAAAATATTGATATGCATGGATTTGGCAACAGAATTTTTAAAATTAGGATATGGGTATGGTAGGTCACAATTCAACAAGAAAAAAGTTTTTTTTTATAATGCTATACATAAAGAATGTAAAATTTATACTTTCCTTTAGATAACATGCAAACAGTTTTTTAACTTCTTAAAATTTAAAACTTGAACCTTAAAAAACTGTTTGATTCCATATATGGGAGGAAGTAGAAACTTGTTAAAGAAAACTTCATTATCTGGCCGTGTTTAGTTGCATCTTGACTCTGTTTTGATCATGTTCGATATTATTTCTATTTTTGTTTAATTTTTCCTCACGAGAAGTTAATTTGCTTGGAGAAAACTTGTGATACCTGCTTGGGATTGGTCCAAATTCCATTCCAATTAATCTTAGCTTAGATGGAATTCAGTTTTTATTAATGCATTATTTACAATACATGATTGTATTAATATACTCCTGTGACGTGTTGAAATCTAAGAGATAGATCGAGAGAAAAAATAATGGAGGTAATGCAAGAACAAAATCTGATAATTGAATTAGGAGATTACAGTGTTCAAGTAGATTGAGTTGCCCGCTTCTAATAGGACTTTTCTACTAAATATAAACTTCTACCTAGATTATAAATATTCCTAATACTCATCTTTCTTATCATAAAAGACTTCTAAACAAATTAGATTATTACTACTACACGGATGTTTCTGATATGTTGAAGTAATGCTCCCCATGCCCTTTTTTTCTACGCTTGTTAGACGACGGCCATATCAAACACCTGAACCCAAGTCCATGTGACATGAGTTATCAGAAGTCAGAACTTAAAATCTAAACTCGAACTTAGCGGTCTTTTAGGGTGGACTTAATGGATTTTATTTGTCTTTACCAGGCTTCTAGATGAAAATGATGCTGAAATACAGGCAAGGGTTCTTGATTGCCTTTTATTGTGGAAAGACGACTTCCTACTTCCGTATGACCAGCATCTGAAAAATCTAATCAATTCAAAGTATCTGAGAGAAGAACTTACAACATGGAGTTTGTCTAAAGAAGATGGTCTAATTGAGGAAGGTCATAGGGTTCATTTGGTGCCTTTAGTTGTTCGCCTCCTGATCCCAAAAATCAGAAACTTGAAAACGCTCGCCTCACGAAAGGTATGCCCATAATTTAAATCTTGTTTCTTCTCCTATCCTTTCAGCCAATGGGGATTTTAAATTCTATCTATACTTCATTATCATTTGTCATTCTTATCACCTTGACTGTTAATGGTATGACCTAATTTTGACAGAATGCAAGTGTACATCTTCGAAAGGCAGTTCTTGGTTTCATAGCTCAACTGGATTCCGATGAGCTCCATCTTTTCTTTGCATTGTTATTGAAGCCCTTGCAAATTATACCAAATGAAGATGATTATGCTTCTAATCTGTATTCAAACACTATCCATGAATTTCACTCCCTAAATTATCTGAAATATTTCACTGTGGAAAATATAACAACCCTATCCTGGAAGAAAAGATCTGGTTTTCTGCATGTAATTGCAGATGTTATTGGTGTTTTTGATGAATTCCGTGTCAGACCTTTTCTTGATCTATTGATGGGATGTGTTGTTCGTGTATTAGCAAGCTGCAGTTCGAATATTGACACTGCAAGGGTTGCTGAATCCTCCCCAGTAAGTGATCATCCCGATGTTGAGATGATATCTGATGACAAGTACAGTACAGAGGCCAACCATGCGAAGGTAATATTTCTGGCTGCGTTGAGAAAAAGAGCTGTTTCTCTTTTCAGATATTATTTAAGCTCTTTAAATTTCAAGTAAGTTAAAAACCATTTGTAGTTGAACTCTAGAATTCTGTTAAGGATGCAACAGTATTTTTCATCATTTTCTTTTCACGTCCTTTTCTTTCTAACAAAATTTTTAAAAGAATCAGATTCTTTATTGAGAAAAACTAAGCTTCATGACAATAATCTTTTCTTTTTCTCAGACTGGGATGGGCATCAAGCAATTCAAGGATTTGAGGTCTCTATGTCTAAGAATTGTCTCTTTAGTTCTCAATAAATATGAGGAACATGATTTTGGTACTGAATTTTGGGACCTATTTTTTACATCCTTGAAACCCTTAATTTATGCTTTCAAGCAGGAGGGTTCTAGTAGTGAAAAACCAAGTTCCTTGTTCTCTTGCTTTTTGGCTATGAGTCAGAGCCTGCAGCTCGTGTCCCTGCTCTGTAGGGAAAGGAATCTTGTCCCTGATATATTTTCAATTCTAACTGTTCCAACTGCTTCAGAAGCTATTATATCTTGTGTTCTGAAGTTTATTTCAAACCTGCTTGATCTTGATTGTGAGTTGGATGATGAAAACAGTCCTATAAAAAGTTTGATATGCCCAAACCTAGAAGCACTGGTCTGCAGCTTGCATTACCTGTTTCAGAGTGATAAAGCATCCAAAAGGTATGAGTGATTCACTTACCTGTAAATACATGTGCAAAATTGTGCTGATATCTGCCGACTGTAGAATCATAAAATAATAGACAGGATGGACCAATGGCCATATTGTGTGTAATATTCAATATATATGTGTGTTTATATTTGAACCAACTGCTTTAATCAAATGTGAGGTTAATAATTACCTTGTAAATGTCCTTTTGGTTTTTTATTTTTCCTTTCCTTTCTCTCCTGCTTCACCATATTATTGATCCATTTCTATACTGGTGTTCATCAATCTGCTGCTACGGTAGAAATAAGTACTTTCCTCGTAATCATCAGTGAAATCTTCAAAAAGTGTTGGTGATCTGCACATATAGTTTCCAGTTCTTGGTTGTGCCGTCAAGTAAAGTGCTGTTCACTTGGTGTATATTGATTATAGATATATAATCAGATATTTTGAGTGGATGACATTCAAAGAAAATAAAGACAACTGGTAATTAGAGACAAAGGGGGAGGGAGGGGGAAGGGGAAAAAATAGGGAATTTCCAAATACAGTAAATGTCAGACCAGTTCCACTTAAGACCCGTCAGAGGATCAATGAGAAACATGGGTAGCCTCTCCTATTCTTGGTGTGAAACAAAAAAACTAGTTCCAAGTTTCAACACTCAAGTTTAAAATTTACGAACCCTTTTACCCCTAAAATTGAAGTTCAAGTCCGTAAGAGACATATATAGTGTGTGTAGATATCGTGTATAACAGAAAATATCAGTTAAAATGTAAATTGAGACAACTATCTTTTATCTTCTCTCATCAAGGAAATTAAGTCGTAGTTATGTCCCTCTTCTCTCTAGATTCCAGTTTTTTAAAAAATACACGTGGGTATGACTGAACGCTCAACCCATCCACAACCTTGACCACTGCCATCAGTCGTCAACTATCCACCATCACCGTCAGCCGACCACCGTCTGCCGTCGCCGACCGCCGCCGCCGTCGCGCTCCGATCTCCGTTCAACGCCATTTTTCTCAGGGAAGCTCGTCTGCTAATGGAGATTCCAAATCTGGGCTTAGATTTGCGATGAAGTCTTCCAATCAGTGTAGATCTATACTTTCTTCACTGCCGATTTTCGCCGCCAACCGCCGTTTGTTTCGACACAACCTCACCACCAAGCTCTGCATCATTTGGCGACCAAAACCCACCTATCCTTGAGTTGAGAACCGTTCTTCTCCGGGATTTCGATTTTTACTGTTTCGTAATTTCCAGAAACTGTTACTGTTCCGCCGTCGTTCTGCGTCGACCATATTACTGTTTTCTGCTGCTAATTTATTGAGAGCATTCCCGGATTGCTCTTTTGAGGGAAAAAAGTTAGGATGGATGGCTCAAAGCTCAGGGAAGGAAGGTGAGATAGTAACTTTGTTTGTGCAAACCATACCGTCTACATATCATTGGAGTGGGTTGAGACATCTATTCGGGAGGCATGGTGATGTGATTAGTTCTTATATAGCAAGGAAAAATGATAGAACAGGAAAAAGCTTTGGCTTTGTTAGATTTTCTAATAGAGGTGACTCAGTTAGAGCAGTCCAAAGATTAAATGGATTCTGGTTATTTGGATATCGATTATCAGTCAAAGAAGCTCGGTATGGAGCCAAGAATCAAATCTGGAAACTGAAATATCTTTCAACTTCCAGTGCTACAACCAGGGTAGAACAAGGAACAAGCGTTAGTGGAGAAAGTCCGGAGGAACTTGCAAGAAGGAGGACTAGGTTAATTCAGGGGGATGTAGATGAGGAAGTTGTTCGAAAGCTCCAGAAGTGCCTCGTAGGAACGATGGCGACGGCATGCTCTTCGAGTCAGGTGGATGACAGATTACAAGCTGGTGGTCTAGGAGAAATTAAGACCAAGTTCCTGGGAGGGAGAGATTTCTTATTGCAAATAGCTGAGGAAGAGTTATACAGAACCTTGAAGGAGCAGAACTGGTCGATTTTAAATGAAGTTTTCCAAGAAGTTCAACCTTGGTCAGAATCTTACAGAGCTTCGGAAAGAGTTACATGGATTAAATTGTTTGGAATGCCGCTTCACTGCTGGAATCATAGCACCTTTAAGAGGATTGCACAACAATGGGGAGAATGCTTAGCGCTGGGAGAAAACACACTTCAAGAATTGGGCTGCGAGGAGATGACTATTCTGATAGCAACTACTAGGAAAGAATTAATTGATGAAGTGGTAGACTTGGAAGCAAGTAGAGATTTATTTAGAATTAGAGTAGTGGAAGTTCCCACATTTAGAAGTGATTCTTTGTTTCGAAAGCAGGAAGAAAAAGAAGGTGCACCGGCAGGAAGAAGCGTGGACTCATCGGAGGAGAAGAATTCCGAGAGGTGTTCTGAGGAAGAAGACAATCAATTATTGTGTATGGGGAACAGACCTAAAGGTAGCAACTTGTCGGGTGAGGATGAGGAGGAAAGGAACATAGGGGAGGAAATAATTATGGGTATGAGGAATAATGTTGCTGGTCAGGGGAATGTTCAAACGCAAATCGAGGAAGCGGTGGAACATGAGTAAGTGTTGAAAACGGTGGAACATGAGGTAGTGCTGGATCATGTGATGAGAGAGGCAGAATATGACAACATGAAATTTGGTAAGACTGCACGTGTTAATGAGGGGATGAAGGATAATTTAATAGATTTGTCCATCTTGGATGGTCTTTTAGAGTCAAAGGAGGTGGAGGATGCGATTAATATGGGCCTTACAAATAATTGTGCTATCATAAGATCTAAGGGAGAGGAAGTCCAACAAGATGGGGCTGTGGTTGAACGGGTGGTTGGAAAACCCAAATCGGGGATAGTATGTGAGGATTTAGACCAGAGCCTTGGCTTGTCAACACAATTGAGGGACGTTTCTTTCTCGCACAATTCCAGGCAGAACTAGAGAGCTAAGGAGGGGATTAACAATAAATATAGCTCTATCCAAATAATTGAAGAGAAATATTCGGCTCCCCATAGGAAGACTAGACTCTGCCGAAGCAAGATTAATCAGAAGAAGGTGCAACGCAAGGAAGAATGGACTGAACTTGATGGCTCACAAGTGTTTTTGATTTCCGAAAACTATAGCAGTGGAAGAATTGGAAGTTTCAGGTGATTCGCATTTGATTATGGAATGAAGTTGGAGGTTCAGATGGTGTCCGATAACAAGACGAGCAATAAGTGGTAGAAAGGCGGATAGAGTGATTTCGAAGCTAGCTTTTTGTACTCTTATACTGTGGAAGCTAATGGCTTTTGTGTTAGAATTTGGTTTCTTTGGAATGAGTCAGTTCATATTGATGCTGGCAAGATGATGGGTTCTTTCATAATATCTAAATATCCAGGCCCTCCAACTTTGCTGGAACTTTTTCCTAGGTCTTGTAATATGGAGACAGACAAGTTAGCTATGGAGGGGATTGGTTGATTGTTTCAGGCATTTTGTTGAACTGTTTTCGGTTGTATTCTAGGAAATGTTTAGGCGTTAGTCTTCATTGCTGTTGCTAGATTGGTTATCAACTCAGCCAAAATTTATATTGTGTTGGTAGCTTAGATGGTTTAGGTTGAGCTAGTTCTGTTGTATAGGGTTGTCTTCGGTTCTTTTTTGGTTTTTTGGTTATGTTGGGGGTGTTTATCTGGTTGTATCTTATGTAATTTCTTTTGGTTAATGAAATCTTTAGGCACTCTTTTCCTCCTTCCGCTGATTAAGGAGCTTCTCTACAAGCTCCTTTAATCAAGAAGGGGGTTTTTAACGAGGCCTTCAATTCCTATAAAAAATAATCTTCTCTCATCAAAACCTTTATGACTGTATTGGTAGCGAAAATCCTTTTATGTTGTAACTAATGTGTTTTTTTCTATCTTTAATATTTAGTTCTATAACACATGCTATGAAAAACTTGTTCTCTCTTTTTTCTTTTTGCAATATATGATTCTGTTGTTCCTCTTTTCATTCTGAATTCCCCCTTTATGGTTTCTGCGTTGACTATTCATATATACTTGAGTATGATTATGAGTTTGAAGTTCTTAGGGAATGGAAAAGCTCATCACTGGATTTTCTTTGATCCATACCATTTTGTTGTTACAGAAAATTTGTCAGATGTCCTGGGGAAACAGAAATTAGAATCTTCAAATTGCTATCGAAATACATAAGTGATCCATTGCTGGCAAAGAAATTTGTCGATGTCTTGCTCCCTTTCTTATCAAAAAGAGTTCAAGGTTCTGGTAAGAATCTTTTAGAATTAGTATTGATACAATTTACTCTTTTCATTTGTTGTTTTCATGTATTTTTTGGTGTTGCAGATACCTGTCTTGAGGCCATACAAGTTATTCAACACATCATTCCTGTTCTAGGGAATGACAGAACTACCGACATACTTAATGCTGTTGATCCACTTCTTATTTCTTCTAAATTGGATATGCGAGTGTTTATTTGCGATCTTCTTGAAGCACTTGCTAGAACTGATTCTTCTGTACTTGTGGTGGTAATATTTGACTCTTTATTTTTCATAATGGAGTTTCTTTGTTTTGTAAGTATCCAAAGTTGTAACACTGGTGATTGGAGTGCAGGCTGGATATATCAGACAATTAAATGCAACCTCAGTTTTTGAGTTGGATGAGCTTGATTATGATGCCATTGGCAAGGCGTATGAAGGAATTGGAATTGGATGCTTTAGTGCTATGCCTGTGGAGCATGTCTTACTTGTTTTGTCACAAAGCGTATATGATATGTCATCAGACGAATTAATTTTAAGGCATCATGCTTATAGGTTGTTGCTTACTTTTCTTGAATTTTCTGCCCAAGTTCTTGGCCAAGAGGTTGTAGATCATCATGGAACTGCTGATCAGATGATGACAGATGATGAAGGTTGTTGGACACAAGCATGTGTTCAGCGTATCATAAACAAGTTTCTTTTGAAGCATATGGGGATGCAATCAGTTGTGGAATTTCTGTGAGAAAGGTATCAAGCCTTTTCTCTTGTCCTCTTATAGACAGAGATGATATTTTACCAACCACCCAATCTTATTCACATACTCCAAACCATATACATGTAATGATGTGCACAAGAAATATCATTGATACTCTAAACTTTAATTGTTGAAGCAATTCTCTGCTGTTATACCACCAATGTCACACACTACATATTATTTATCCATTTGAACCCCAGTGGGGAGCCTGGTGTTGGGGTGCCTTCCTCTGTGGATTCTAATGGACCCGCATTCTATTTTACTTTGTACATGTATTTTACTCTGGATTCTAATGGACCCATATACTATTTAACTTTGTACATAAATTTTACTTTTTTTATAGCCTGTTTGTTGGGGTCCATTTTTGGTTGCAAAGCTGTAGTGTATTGAGAAATATGCTAAAATATGCAAATATAGTTGCAATAAAGTTTTATAAAACAAATAAAAAAATTCTGTTGCATCTATTCAGTATTTATAATATTCAGGAGATTTTCTAATGGATGATAATGGTTTCAGGAATGGATTGATTTACTGCGAGAAATGGTGATAAAGCTTCCGCAGTTGGAGAATCTTAATTTGTTCAGAGCTCTATGCTCTGAAGATGCTGATCAAGATTTTTTCAATAATATCATTCATCTACAGGTTTGTTTGCTTCTTTGTTCGCTTATTTTTGTTCTGATAATTGCCTCTTGCAAGTTCATTATTTTTCTTCTGAATTGGACCTCATAACTCTTCTCATGCCTTCTTCACTTGTTCTGCTTTTACATTAACAAAATCTAATTGCTTTACCTATAAACATAAATGGAGACTCAATAGTACTTGTGAATATTTTCTCAATTTCCATTTCTTTTTTGGGTGCAGAAACATAAGAGGGCAAAGGCTTTGTCTCGCTTTGCAGATGTTATCAATAAAAGCTATATGCCTATGGTAACTATATTGACTGTTGTTTTCTGGTGATGGTAAGTTTTTTTTATCAGCACTAAAGCTTTCTTTGCCGCTTTTTCACTTGCAGGATATCATGAATAAAGTGTTCATTCCACTATTTTTCAACATGTTGTTTGATTTACAACATGGGAAGGACGAACATCTTAGATCTGCTTGCATGCAAGCACTTGCTTCAGTTTCGGCTAAGATGGAATGGAAATCATACCATGTGTTACTGATTCGCTGCTTTAGTGAGATGAAGAAGCATCCAGACAAGCAGAAAGTTCTCTTACGTTTAATTTGCTCTATCTTGGACAAATTTGATTATTCAAGATTTTGTTCTGGTCAAGGAGGGAACATTTCGGGTTCTGAAAACAATAGTATTACTTCTCCAGCAATGCAGAACATTGGTAGTTCTGTTATGGTTGCTGAGATACAGGCTTCTCTTCAAAAAACTATTCTGCCAAAGATACAGAAGTTATTGAGTTCTGATTTGATAATGTCAATGTTAATATCAGCCTTGCTGCACTGAAACTTCTAAAGCTGCTTCCAGGAGATGTAATGGAGTCTCAGCTATCTAGCATCATTCATCGCATTTCAAACTTTCTAAAGAACCGTCTAGAAAGTATTCGTGATGAAGCTAGGTCTGCATTGGCTGAATGTCTAAAGGTGCTTGGACTTGAATATCTTCAGTTTATAATCCGAGTTTTAAGAGCAACACTGAAACGCGGATTTGAGATGCACGTACTAGGATATACACTTAATTTTCTTTTGTCAAAGACCCTTTCAATTTCTTCTGATGGGAGTTTGGATTATTGCTTAGAAGATCTCCTCAGTGTGGCTGAAAATGATATTCTAGGAGATGTTGCTGGGAGAAAGAGGTGGACAAGATTGCTTCCAAAATGAAAGAACAAGGAAGTGCAAGTCTTTTGAAACCTTGAAACTGATTGCTCAAAGCATAACTTTCAAAACCAATGCATTGAAGCTTCTTTCTCCCGTTACAACTCACTTGCAAAAGCATCTGACTCCAAAAGTGAAATCAAAATTGGAAAATATGTTGAAACACATCGCGGAGGGAATTGATTGCAATCCATCAGTAAATCAGACTGATCTCTTTATCTTTGTATATGGCCTCATTGCAGATGCAACTAATGAAGAAAATGGATTCAGTGCTAGTTTGACTAGTGAAGAAGGAAATAAACATGGAAATGTTGTCAGAGAGAAAATTGTCTCTCTAGCTGAGGCGTTTAGAACTAAGTCTGCATGTTCTCACCTTATTACATCTTTTGCGCTAGGAGTTTTACAAAATAGATTGAAAAGCATGAAATTGGACAGAAATGATGAGCAACTGTTATCAATGTTGGATCCATTTGTCAAATTGCTTGGCAACTGTTTGAGTTCCAAATATGAAGATATTTTGTCTTCATGCCTTAGATGTCTTACTCCATTGGTGAGGCTGCCTCTTCCATCACTTGAATCCCAGGCTGATAAATTGAAAGTGACGCTTTTGGGTATTGCACAAGGCTCTGTAAGCCCTGGAAATCCTCTTATGGAGTCATGTCTAAAATTGTTAACTGTTCTTTTACGAAGCACCAAAATCACATTATCCTCAGATCAGTTATATATGTTAGTGCAGTTTCCAGTGTTTGTGGATCTTGAAAGGAATCCATCCTTCATTGCCTTGTCACTTCTAAAGGCAATTGTTAACCGCAAGCTAGTGGTTCATGAGATCTATGATATTGTAGTTCAAGTTGCAGAATTGATGGTAACTAGTCAGGTGGAACCGATTCGAAAAAAATGCAGTCAGATTTTGTTGCAGTTCCTACTTGATTATCATCTTTCAGAGAAACGCTTACAACAACATTTAGATTTCTTCTTGCAAATCTAAGGCATGTATTAAAGTATTTGAAGGATTTTTTAGGTTATTTAATTCTGGATATCCTACAATCAATTTGCTTTTCTTGCAGGTATCAGCATCCAACTGGGAGAGAATCTGTGCTAGAAATGCTCCATGCAATCTTGATAAAATTTCCAAAAGGCATTATTGATGAGCAGTCACAGACCATATTTGTCCACCTTGTGGTGTGCTTGGCCAATGATCAAGATAATAAAGTCCGCTCTATGACTGGTGCTGTGATAAAGCTCCTTATTGGTCGTATAAGCCAACATTCACTGAATTCCATTCTCGAGTACAGTATGTCCTGGTATTTGGGTGAGAAGCAGCAACTATGGAGCGCAGGTGCACAGGTATTACTTCCTAATGGTGTCTGATTTATGTTTCAGAACTATATAAAATACAAGAGATGTTTAGGGTCTGGTGAGGAAAATTCTTGAAAAGCAAGTATGACATTCTTAACAGTAAATGCTGTCTGTTCGTGTTATGAGATGTTTTCCGTATTTATTGCTGTGGTTACATATTCATTTCTTTAAAGATCTTCTGTATAAAGAATACTTAATATTTTTTTTTCTCTTCCCGTTATGCATGGTTACAATAGATTGTGCACGGTTATAGACTTTGCTATTTCTTCTTACGACACCACCTTTAAATGTAATAATGGTTTTGTTTCTGCTGTTATGCTCAATGTCTGCAGAACCTTTCCAACTCCTGAACCCGGTTTCGGTGTATAGAGTTAGAATTCTTCTCTTCTAAAGTCTCTTATTCTAATTGTAAAGAAAAAAGAATGCGGTCGGAGATTAGAATAATGGAGTATGTTTAAAATATCAATAAATTAATTTTCTAAATAAAGGGGGCATGCAGGAATGTTCAAAGCCACTTGTGGAGTTCGAAAGCTCCACTGGAGATGTTGAGAGTAATAATCCTATTATGAAATGAATTTGTTGATAGATATGCTCTGGAAAGTACCTGCAGTTGAAATTATCAAGTTTACTATTATTATATTTAGTTTGTGCCCCACATTTCTCGTATTCCCTTCAAAATGATCTTTGATGTCTCTGTGCAGGTATTAGGATTAGTGATCGAGGTCATGAAGAAAAAATTTCAAAAGCATATTAGTAGAATATTGCCAGTGACTAAAAGGATTTTGCGCTCTGCTATTGTTGCTTTCAGCAACACAGAGATGGATCTTCTGACGAAGCTACTATTCCTTTCTGGAAAGCGGCATACTATTCAATAGTTATGTTGGAGAAGATGCTACATCAGTTCCGTGATTTGAGCTTCGAAAGAGATCTTGAGGTTTGGCCTGTGTGTTTCTTGTTCTTGGTTAAAATGTTATTAAGACTGTCATTTTAATCCTAGTTGTTTTCATCACCATTCTCTATAACCATTGCTTCAACTCTTTTTTTTCCTTGAAATATCCATGTCTGATACGGGGACAGGGTAGGACCCTCCAAATACATGGAAAAACCTTAAAATTGAACAATACTCGTGTCAAACACATAACTTGTACCTGAGTCCAAGTAATGTTAGCTCTATAAAACTCGGGTCTGTCCATTATGAATATCTAGTGGTATCCTGTATATGTAGAGAGACATGGTCACTGATTATTCCTAATTTATCACCAAAATGATCCTCCAAGGATCAGTCAAATGCATGTAAAAACTTTAAACGAAATCAACATTTTTGGTTTGAACACATACCAACATCCGGCACTTAAATCCAAGTCTGAGTGACATGGTTACACACTCGTCACACGTGGGTGTATTTCTTTCCTTTAGAAACTTGAGTGATGCTTCAATAAAATTTATGACAAGGTACCCAACACTACAGTAATTAGACTTATGATACTAATCAGCAGGTTCTCCATACTCATATTTTTCTATGTTGCTTTGTCATTTTTTTTATGACAAGGTACCCAACTCTACAGTAATTAGACCTATGATACTAATCAGCAGGTTCTCCATGCATATTTTTCTATGTTGCTTTGACATTTTTCTTGAAGTAATCGGATCATTGTTTGATTCACTGCGGGTATGGAGACATGACCCACTGTGGACTCTCTAAACACATGGAAAAACTTTTAAAAAGTTTAAATACTTCAGATCCACATCCGACAGTAACCATGTTTGATTCGCGTGAGCATTTTTTATGAGATGTTTGTTTAGACGACTGTCAACAGAACAAAAATGGTAGGAATTGTACATCAAACTATAATGCCCATTTTATTAATGGTAGAACATACTGCGCCCTTTTATGAAGTCCATGCAATTGAACTCATATTGACCCTTACTCTACTGTTTTCAGGAGATTTGGGAAATGATCTGCGAGTTGCTGTTGCATCCGCATGCATGGTTAAGCAACATATCAAATCGCTTAATTGCCTTCTATTTTACTTGTGCAAATGAGTCGAGACGAGGAAGTCTTGAGAAGTCACATGGAGCATTATTTCTTATGACGCCAAGTAGACTTTTTATGATTGCTGCTTCTCTTTGCTGCCAACTGAAAGTGCCTATTGATGATTACGAGGCTGCAACAAAGGATGTAAAGCTTGGTGCTAAGAAGGAAACTGAGAAAATCTCTTATCCCCGGAGCAGCCTGATTACAAGAAATCTCGTGTTTTCAATTTGTGGTCTGAACTCCTTGATGAAAGAGTGGGCCGGTGTGCACCTTACGAAGTTCTGGTCTGCCCTTGAACAGCATGAGCAAGAGCGGTTTCTTAAAGCCTTTCAGTTGCTTAATTCAAGGAAAGCAACCCGTATACTTTTGTCTGTTACTGATGCCACAGATGATCAAAATGATGCAGACCATTCTGAGGGCCTTCAATATCTGCTCGTCTCTAATCTGCTTAAGGAGCTTGGCAAGCTAGCTTTTCAAATGGAGGCTATTCAGGTTGGTCAAATTATTAGCATTGAGCTGAAAATCCTTTTTCAACCCAACCCTACTTGCTATTAGGGCTGAGCCAAAAACTGAGAACCTGACTTTTGTGTTTGGTTCAGTTTTTATAAAAAAACGATTTGGTTCCGGTCCAGATATTATAATAAAAGTGACAAAAAAGAAGAAACTTATTAAAAATTAAATAAAAAAAATTTTGTTTCGGTTTTTGGTTCATAAGGTAAAGAACTGTGATTATTCAAACTAAACTGATATTTAATTTTTTTTATCAGGTTTTTTCATTTTTTATAATATAAAAAGGAAAAAAACTATCAAATTATCCAAAAAAAAGGAAAAAAAAAACTATACAAAAGACTAAAAGGATTTTAGAAAACCGATGAACCAAACCTTTCCAAACCGAAGGAATTTGGTTCGGTATTCATTTCGGTTTTTAGAAAACCAGAGTAATGCCTATAGGTTGTATTTTTTTTTAAAAAAAATAATCAAACCCAACCGTTATAATACTCGCTAGCTTGTTTGTTGGTTATTGAAGCTATTGTACTGATATCTTTAAAATGATGTATGCAGATGAGGATAGTCTTCAGTAGTTTCCAGAAAATTTTACCAGAGATCGGTCAGGATGATTCTCGACATTACGCGTCTCTGATGATTTTTCCTTTATATAAAGTGTGTGAAGGGTTTGCTGGAAAAATTATCACCGGTGAGTTCAGACATTTCCATATTACTTTGGGGCATCCTGGTTTGATTGAACTTTATCAAAATCCAACCTTTCTTTATTTTCGTCTTGTAACAGATGATCTAAAGCAATTAGCACAAGAGGTTTTGGGGAGTATTCGGAAGATTATAGGCAGCCAAGAATTCGGACATGTTTACAACGAGATGAAGAAGAAACTAAAATCGAAGAGAGACAAGAGAAAACGAGAGGAGAAGCAGATGGCGGTTATCAATCCAATCCGCAATGCTAAGAGGAAGCTGCGGATCGCAGCCAAGAATCGTGCTAACAAGAAGAGGAGGATAATGGCAATGAAAATGGAAAGATGGATGCGGTAAATCCCATCCTTTTCTCCATTAGGAAATTTTGTTACTTTGGTTGTATAGTAAATGACCATCAAGCTTGAAAATCCTTTTCTATGCGTTTTTTCCGAGAAAATGTCGAGAAATTCACCTGTTGAGGAATCTAAGAATACTTTTAATTAATTCTCTCTACATTTAAGTGGGAATTAGGCCAGTTCATCTTTAACGATATATGTACGTGAATTTTGGAAAGTTAAAAAATAGTTATTAAATTTTATATTTAATTATAAAATGGTCATTGTGTCTTTATTTATCAGTTATTGTCGTATTAAAGTTGATAATTGTTATATAATATTATTAGAATAGTGGTTGTTATATAATGATAATTGTGTCATTCAGAAATATTATTGTATTATTGTGATACCCATAATGATCGTAATAGTATTCACTCTATCTACAATCGTGATAACTGCAATGTAAGTGAAAATGTGACCAAAGGTGTAATTTAAATCCTTGCCTTTGGGTGGTTGGATTTGTGTTACTTTTATGCTTGTAGCTTCTGTCAACCATTTTGTTGCTTTGTAAAAGACTTGTGATATTCAGTACATAGCATTTCAAACATCAAGAGAACAGCTGCTCTTTGGTTTATTTTGTATTTGTATTCTAATCTTTGTAATTGTTTAAATGCAAAATGATATTTTCCTTGGGAATCATTTGATCAAGTTGCAGTTTGGTGTATTGGTAAATAACGTGGGGATGCTTGTTCTTGAAGAACCAATCAAGATAAGTGCAACCATATCCACAGAGTAGTTATTCGAAAAATTTATAAATATTTAACGCTAAATAGGATTTAGAATGAAAATAAAATAATTAAAATTTTATTCTCAATCATTAATCCCAACCCTTGATCTCCCATCACCGATACCATCTCAACCCCAAACCACATCGACTTCAAATCACGTATCCAAACCCTAAACCTCTGACTCATACCACCTACAAAAATCACGACCCTCACTCTAGATGGCTTCACCCTTTCACAAGCGAACAATGGCTCATTGATGGCCTCAACCCCAGTTGCAATATCGATTAGCCAAAAATTACCACCACCGCACCTCCCCCACGCCCTCAACGCCCCAAACTACATTTTTGCAACAAAAAATAGATGGATAGCGGGTGGTTCACCCTTTTTTTCAGTCACTCTCCATCTATCGACGTTGCGCCTTCGTGTGTAACCCCCTATATCCCAAACCCCATCACTTTTCGTCCATCGGTGTTGTGCCTCCCCAGCCCTCCGCGTGCAACCCCCTAAATCCAACATTCGCCCTGCTCGCAACACTCATCGATCTATCCTACACCTTTCCCCTCTGACTAGCACGAGCTACCCTACCTGACACTTTTACAACCATATGTTTTACGACAACATCCAGCCGCTTTAGCCTACATGGTACACTCCAACGTACCGGTTCAAATATACAATCTCATATGCAACCACCTTACTTTAACACCAAAATTCTTCAACTTTAAATCGAATCTTAAAACACTTGAACCCTAAATTACACCACATAACCATCATGCCCAATGCATGAGGCGTGGGTCAAAACGATGATGGTGCAACGAATAAGGGTGAAGATAAGGGTTTGAGGTTTGTAGATTAGGAATTGATATTAAGGTATAAAGATTTTATTTTTATTTTAAATCGTACTTGGAATAAGTATTGATAAAATATGATATGTAATAGGAAAATATTAAAACAATAAGCCATGTAATACTAGAGTAACCAAAATAACAACAACTCAAAAGTTAAAGTGATTGAATTGAAATTTTTTAAACTTCAATTAATAAAATAAGAGTGAAAAGATAGTTGAATGATGAAAGGTGTAATTTACCCGTATTTATATTACTATACCCGTATTTATATTACTATTCTTTTGAAGATTAGGAGGGAGGAAAATTTAGGAAAAAATGTTTCCTTTATGTATTTTCCTTTCAGTTGAGCTATACATTATGCATTATCTTTGTACAATATTTTCTCTTTTTTGAAGAAAAAATTATCTTTATACACATTTTAATAATCTTATAATCATTGGGGTATTCAATAGATATGCTTTATTTGTATCGAATCTCTTTAAGATCATCTCATATACAAAAATTCATATTTAATTGATTGATCTACAAGTTGAAATAAAACATGATTCCAAGATTCTTTATCTCAAATACTCTTGTTAAACAATCAAGATGCTTTTCAAGCTCTTCAAGAGTTTTAATAATATTCAAATTATCAATATATACAACAATTATAACATATTTTGATTTTGATATCTTAATAAAGGTATACAAATAAGTTGGATCATCTTTATAACTTTAAAATCATCTAGAGTAGTTTACTCTTATAATTTTAGTGAGAAATAGGCAACACTTGTCAAATGTGCAAGGCAGTATCCAACCGCAAAGCCAAAAATCCTGAACCAACTCAATCTACTAAATTACAAAACACCGAGACATATGTTTTACCCGCCCGCGTTTACCGCTCCCTTGTAATGAAAATTAAATAATAATAATAGTAAGGGTAAAGAATATAAATAATTTTTTAATTAAATGATATTATTTTATAGAATCTTTCGATTATTAAAAATTAAAAATAATCTTTAATTAATAGAGTTTATTTTATTAAGTCTATCAACTATTAAAATTTATATAATGATTATTTGATTATTTAATATATTTTAAATTAATATTTTTTATTAAAACATTAACGGATATTTACGTTTTTTGTCCGTAGCTGATTTTTTTGCAATTGTAATCTTTCCGTTAACAAAAATCGAAAAATTGCAAGTACATTATATTTAATTATTAACTAATTTTTTGAACTATTTAATAATTAATAGATAAAAATTACAGTCTCACGACTATTAAAATTAATCCTTCATTATATTTCAATCTTACATAATAGTGTACTTGCAATTTTTCGATCTTTTTCTTTTTTACCCGCAATATTTTTCTCACCTCTGAGTTTTAACGCTGCCACTCGATAAAAAAAAGATACTTTCTTTCTCACAGATTCCTTCGCTTTCTACCCCAAAATTTCCCCAGAAAATTTCCCATCTTTACTTCGAAGGAAAAAAACCCCAAAGTTAAAGCTGTTTTTTCCCCTCTGTCTCTTTCCGTAGCTTAAGGTAAGGCTCTTCCAAGTCTAATCTTTTGGGTGATTCTTTGATTTAGGGTATTTTAATTTTGGGTCCTTTTTTTATATGCCATACAATTGTATATTTGATGAATTTGAAGTTACCTTTATAGAGAAACTTTGTTTCTCTTCTTCTTTTTTTTTGTTTTATTTGAATATATTGTGCCGAAAGATGATACCGAAAAGAAAGAAATGGACCGAAGCTGAAGAGAAAACCCTAATTGATAAATATGGTGAAATGATTGCTGATGGAACTCTTGCGAAAATGAAAACCCGAGAAAAGAAGTATAAGCCCATTGCTTGTTATGTGAATTCTGTGCATCATGTACGTGATTCTATTGCATATCCATGGCAATGGTCATGGAAGGATGTCTCCACTAAGGTGCAAAATATGAGGCACCAATATTTGCTTGTTAAGCAGAAGATTAAGAAACCTGACACGGTCGTTGATAATCCAGCCGGTGGAGAGTGCACTGGGGATGATGACTTTGATTGGTTAGAAGGGCTTTCACATTGGTCGAACTTTATGCGATACAAAGAAGTGTTTGGAGATGTGGTGGCTTCGTATAATAGTATTAATAACAATAATAGCAATACCAGTAGTGATATGATGGCGGCGGTTGCGAATGAGGAAAGGGAAAATGGAGGGGGATTTGTTGGAGGTAATGGGATGGAGATTGTGGAGTTTGGCAAAATGGGTCAATCTGGGGATGGGGATTTTGCAGGAATTGATGGGGGAGAGAACAAGGTGTTATGTTTGGGTTTTGAGTACGACGGTGATGAAGGAGAGGGGAATTATAATGGTAATGATCAAGTGAGGGAAGAGGGAGATGATGGTTTGTTGTATGAGGAAGCAGAATTGAATGAGTCGAATCTGAAAAAGAAAAGGAAAGTGTTGAAGGGTTTGGAGAAGAAGGCCTTAGGATTTCTTGTGAACCAGTTAGGGCAGTTAAGGGAATTGGAGGCTCGGTACGAGCAACGTGAGGCACACAGAGAGTGTGAGAGGAAAAGAAAGGAGAGTGTTCGATTGGAGCTTGAGAAAGAATGGGAAAGAAAGTTGGAAGAAAGAGAAAAGGGGAGGGAAGAAAGAGAGAAAGCTACGGAGAAGCTGAGAAGGCAGAGAATCAATGAGTGGGAAGCTATGGAGAAGGAAAGTGAAGAGAAAGAAAGAAGAAGAAAAGAAGAGGATTCTATACAAGAGAGTGAACGGGAGGAGAGGTTGAATAGAAAGAAATCAGAATGGAGGAAGAGGATGGATGAAACGCTAAATCAGCACCGAGCAGAAATGAACCAGATGCAGACACGTTTTCTTCACGAGCAACAAAATCTTACTAGCCAGTTGCTTGGGATTGTTTCTCAATGGACTGGTCATCCAGCAGCGCTTTCCGACCATACTGCTGCCAGCAACCATTATCTTTCTCAAATGATGCAAAATTTACACCATGTCAATGGTATGATTCACGGAGATGACAGGGTTGATGGGGATAATCAAGATGATCAATTCATTGTTGATGGATGATGTCATATCAGCAATATCCAACTCCTTGGACAAGAGAACAACTGGAGGTTGTTTGAGAACGTTATCTACCATGAGAAGTGTAAAGGTCAGGAATTGTTAATTGCATATTGCCAAGAACTTTCTGCTAGATTTGCATGCATGCCAATCTATTTAGTTCGAAACGGAGTTGATAAGGGCTGTACGACTCTGTTGTGGCATTTCCTTCTGCTCAACCTGTTGTAACTCTATTTATTAAATAAAAATGAAATCCAATTCTAAATTGGTAATATTTTTGTTCTGTTTCTCTTTCATTTACTCTATTAGTATCTGAAATCGCATGAATAAAATAGAATTTTTTTTTGCAGCTGATTGCAACTATGTGTGACCATCAAGTGAGATGAATTATATTTTGGCCTTGTTGTAACTAAAGGAGATTGAAAAGGCTGTAACAATTGAAAATAGCTAACATTTATATGTTGTGGAGTTCTTGGTGTGACCATAGAGGAACTTTGATTTCTGCGCTCCAGTAGAAATTTTCCTAGGAAACTAT